GCATGGGAAACGATCCGAAAATGTTCGATTGCATGTCAAAAATTAAAAAGAAATCACTCAATTTGTACCAAACCAGGCACTTAGATTGAGAAAATATTCAGAAAAACTTCGTCGAAGAAATTTTGACAATCAAATGAATAGTTCAGAGTTAAGGGGGTCAGATTTTGATAAGTCTTTAGTGGGAAAGATTAATTAAGTGGAATTAAATGGAAGATAACCTTTTTTGCTGTTTTATTTAATTTAGTTCATTTTCGATTACGACTGAAGTTGTTTTGTTGATATTGTTTATTTGGCCTCTTTCCTCTAAATTCCAATATTTGCGCTTTTTGCGGGGGTTAATTATAAGCATTTTCTTGCAGCGTAGCTTCCCGTGCTTTTAAAATTATCTTGTCTCGGCAAAGTGGTTGCCGCTTATTAATGTGTCTACTTCGACTTTTGTTGCCATTGTTTTTGTTCTGGTATTCCACTGTTTACATAAACTGTTTTCAGTTTAGTTGTGAGGTTTTCTACCTCGTCACAAAATTTATATACAGATTCTTTTTGCTTAATTGCTTTCAATTTAGTAACGCTGCACACCTTGTTTTGACATTTTATATAATTCAATCAATTGTTGCTAACCCGTCTGGTAGACCTAATCTGGCTTTACCAGTAAGTCGTGTTTTTGAAAACCTAACTGCAGTTAATTGCAGACGTCCTACGGTCATATCTTTCAACAAGTTTGCAGAATCCAATAATGCATCTAAACCGTCAGCACTTCCATCATACTGCTGTACGATTGCTGTTGCGGTTTTAAAGTCAAAAGTAGGATCATTCGCCATTGCTAGTGGTAGTGTCTGATCAATTTTTATTTGAGTATGTTTCGAATATTAGTTATTACATTTCTGGTTGTTTTAGCTAGAAATGTTAGTTCCGAACTTGATAGAGAGTCTTCCTCTTCTATCAGTGTAGACTCGATTTGATGCTACAAAAATCGCCAAAAATGCATTTTTTTCACTTCGGTTGTACCACAAATATACAACGCATTTGCGAAGTTTAATTTAGGTTGGAGTGTTTCAAGTTTAAATGTTTGGTTTATATTTTTTTTAATTCTTTTATAGCGTTATAAGTATTCCAACATCATCCTGTAAATTAGGCATTGTTTTACCACAGACAAACAGACGTAACACTTCATTGTGTATCTTCGTTCATGCATTTAACGGTTGATTTGAATATTATCAGTTCCGCGAACTATTCGCCGCAGCGCTGGCATCGGATCACTTTGACGTTTCTATACATTCCATGGAACTTTTATGCAATATTGTTTGCGAGCTAGCGAGCAAGCTTGTTTTCCGCGAGAAGCCCGAGAGATGTCGTTACTGAGGTCATATGTTTTGAGATACTATGTTTTCAAGAAAAACTTTTTCAAAGAGTTACGTCTGTTTGTCTGTGGTTTTACCTTAATAATATTATGAAAGTTTATACTTCTGCAATGTCAGCTGACGGCATTGCACGGCCTTTTTCAAATCCTTGTCGCTTCCTCTTTTTCGTAAGTGCTTTGTTTAGGACCAAAATTAATTGTAGGGTAATCATAGTAATTTTCATTCTGTTCTAAATGTTCCATGATACTTGTATTAGTGTCACTTGCTTGGTGAGTACTTTTTGAATTTTATTTCCCCATTTTCACGTAGTTTTCACCATATAAAATTTGTAAGTAATTTTGTTTTGTGTGTTTTGTGTTGTTCATCGCATTTTAAGACATTCGTAACTTGTCTGGAATGAGATTTGAACTCATGCGTGAGAGGCATGGATGCTAACCACTATCAAAAAGATTGAAACAAAAATCCAAACGAAGTGCGGGAGTCGGAAAAAAGGTCTAGGAGAAGTCAGAAGTGCCTTCCCTGGGAAGTCAGAAGTGCTTTCCCTGGGAAGTCAGTAGTGCCTTCTGTGGGAATTCAGAAGGAACTTTCACGTGAAATAGGAATCGATTTCCACTTCAACAGAAAGCCAATTTTTGTTCTCTTCGGTCACACAAATATCGAGGCAGCAAACCGTTAACTAATTTAAAAATGAACACCATAGTCAAATATACAATTCTTTGCTTCATCGACAACCATTGTAAGGCGTCTAGCATCAAAGTTGAGGAAGTGAATCTATTACATCTCAAAATCAAACGCATTATTTTATTCTGCAAGCGCTGTAATCTCGATATTTGTGTTGCATTGGCCAGAAATAAAATGCAAGGGCAAAAGTCAAGATGAGGAGAGATGATTGATTTGTATTGCTGTATTTTACTAGCAATAATTAAATCGTTTTTAGTCGACATAGAATTCCATACTTCTTGGCAATTTTCTTGATGACATTGTCAATGTGAGAGTTGAACTTAAGTGTGTCATCAATAATCACGCCAAGATATTTAATCTCCCGAACGCGATCAATAGTTTTATCATCAATTACAACAGAGACGTTCTCATTTACTCGATTCTGCGAAATTACCATAAATTTAGTTTTACTTGTATTCAATTTTAACTGCTTATACTTCAACCATCTACTTAGAGAACGCAAATCTTCATTCAAGTATAAAACGGCATCATCTAAATCCTTAGCTGCAACGAATAACACAGTACACACTTAAAAATTATCGCCGACTTTGGTCATTTTTACCGAAATCTGAACAGCTGAACTGTTCGGTAAAATTTATGCAATTCAATTCAATTGCTTTTCAGCTACTTTGAAACTAAATCTCCACTAAATTGACAATATTTGATCATTTAAACAAGGTTGAACATGTTTTGAAATTTTTTTCAAGTTCAATAGCCTTTAAAATGAAGGTTAAAGTTTTACCGAACGTTTAGCTGTTCTGATTTCGGTAAAATTTACCGAACACGAAAACAAAATCTTAGTGTGTATCATCTGCAAAAAGATTAATGTCGCAAAATCGTAAAACACGTCGCAAGTCATTAATATACATAATAAATAACAGGGGCCCTAATACACTTCCCTGGGGCACTCCAAGGTTATTCCCCACGGGACTGGAACCAGAATCATTAAAAGCAGTCCGTTGAGTTCTGTCAGACAAATAGCTTTCAAACCATTTATATGCAGTACTCGTAATTCCAAAGTGCTTGATTGATCTTAACAATAAGGGCCTAGAAATTATTTCAAAAGCGCGTTTAAGATCCAAAAAAAAACAGCAACAATCGTATCTTTACACTCCAAGTTATTTTTCCACTTCGCTAATACCAAATTCAACGCGGTTTTACAAGAATGACCTTCCCGATATCCCGATTGTTCTGGTATCAACAAACTATTACTATTTAACCAGCCCAAGGCTGAAAATCTCTCTAATAAAGCAAAAAAAAAAAAAAAAATTACTATTTAAATACTCCAACAGCTGGCCTTTAACAACAAGTTCTAAAATTTTCTCTAATGTGTGCAACATGTTGATGGGACGAAACTCTTCGACTTTAATCGTTCCAGCAACTTTTTGAATAGGGACCACTAAGGATTCCTTCCAAATTTGTGGCACATGTCCAGTTTGTAATGATTCATTAATAAGGTCCAGCAAGATGTGGCATGAAAGCAATCTTGAATAACTCTAGCATTAACATTATCTACTCCAGACGATTTTCCTAATGAAAAACAAATAACTCTAACTTCATCTAATGAAATTGGGTGAAAAACTTCAAATCTACTATTAACTGGCTGTTTTATTTCGTCAGGTTCATCGACCAATTCAATGGATTGATTAATCAATGAAACACTGTCTACAAAATAATCATTAAACATAGCTGAAATTACTTGTTCTGACTGTTCTAATGTGCCATTAAAAGTTATGGACCGCGGTTTGCAATTACTAGGTTTTAATAGAGATTTCAAAATTTTCCATAACTCTTTGCTGTTGTTTTGATGCTGATCAATCTTCCTTTGAACTCGCTTGATGAGGTCAAGTTTGCGTTTTTCTATAAAAAGTTACTCACCCTAATGTATACCCTTCTTTGTAAGAAGGGTAAAAACGCCTCCTAGATCCTCAAGACTTTGTAGGCAGATGAATGATAACATTCATCTGTAAGACCATTCCATGTTGTTTCGAAATTTATTGTTCTCCAGAGTTGATTAAGGTGAATCGCTGTGGAAACGTTATTTTTGATTGATCTTAAGAGAGCACAAATATTATTAGTTTTTTACTGAGATCCAGCAAAATAAAATGCCGAGCTGCTCGGTGGTGCCCGTCTCTCCAAAAAAAATCTAATCGTGTACACATTTCTAAAAACTGTTAATCTTATATTATCCCTTGTAAAAATATACAGCATAAAGTTCATTATAAAACCCATTTTAAATTTGTAAATTTGCAGTCAATGAGAAACCTGCACCTGTACACTTTCAGCTAACGTTTTAATCTATGGAGCTGTGGTTGATAAGGCACACCACATATCATTTTCGACGTCCAGTGTAGTAAACTATTTTGATTTAATGTGCATCTTTGCAGACAATCCAAACCCGTACAAAAAAAACTTGATACGAATGGCAGCAACACTCGCAAGGTTAATTCTACATTATTATCAAGGACCAAGTCTAAGGGAGACAACCCTAGCCAAGATGCAGGAAAGATTTTGGTTTACTGCCGTGAGAAGTGAACGTATATAGAAAAATGATTGTTGAATATTTTGAAGATTTCCTGCAAAAAGATGGAGCACGATGAAAGCAGATTAATTTAGATGCAAGAAATGGCAGAAGTCTTTATGAAGATTGATTATCTAGCTTGAGATTTTTAGAGCACGATAGCTGATGAATCAACTTAATATAATCGTAATCGCAGAAGAGAATACTTTTGGACTGAATCCAATATACCATCAACAATTTGGTCAACATTTCCTACTATAAACTTAAAGTAACATGTTATTTTTTTATTCCACCTTGGAGGGAATTCCCCCCTTCACCGATTGAAAACAACTGCTTTACACTATTCATCATTTCAATTAGTTTTCAAACACACGCAACAGAATACAGATGATTGAACTTACCTCGGCCAAGTATAAATTCCAGACACTTCAAAGCCATAGTGCCAGGCACCAAAGTAAGCACCTTGATTTTTTGGACCCGTACAAACACCATGACCGTGCGCCTTATTATCCTCCCATCCACCGCAAAATGTACCACCATCCTCAAAGTCATAGCGACCGCCGCTGATTTTCTGATGGCCTTCAGAACCAACAGGGTTTACTATTCCTTGTTCTGGACCACTACTAGCCATATTTGCATTATTTTTCTATAAACACCTCGTTATTCGGGTATAGACCAGATATCACAATTTATCGTCACGCAACTGGTTACACTGAAGCTGCTTTTTCTGGCCTTGTAACGCATTCGATGATAATAGTATTGATAATGCAGCTTCATGGGAAGAGTATTGCATATTTTCACCAAATCATTACTATAAGTATGAATCAGATGCTGGTAAGTAACCGGATATTCAATTCACAATCACGACCGATGTTCTCCTTTTCTGATTATGTTAATACCTTTTCAACTACCATTTCGATGGATCTGTATAGCAAATTGAAATATAATCACTGATGTACTGATCTTTGTCATAATCAATTCCTTGTTTTATCACATTTTCATATCACATGCTACTGACACTGATTCACTTTTTGATTTGCTTCCCGTCTGCGTTCCTGTTTGTTTTTCATTACATGAATAAAAAAGAGATGTGTTAGAACCGAAAGCATGGAAGCAAATATTGTTGAACTGCCAATTCGAGAGCACACACGTACTATTATGTTTCTCGGTATACATTCGCGATTGTGCGAGAATCGCCGTTGTAATTGTACGGATTACCAATGCAGTACATTTCGTATTAAAAATAACTTTGTTTCAACCAAAATTTTCAACTCACTACCACAATTATAACTCTAACCACGAGGTATTGACACCGAATTTCCTTTTCTTCCCGTTCAACTTTCCTCCATAACCGAAGTGCTGACCGTTGTAGAATTATTTTTGGTTTTGTTTTAGGCTTCTCATTAAATAATGAAAAGCTCCTCTCAGTGCTAAACATACATGCAGGATATCACACAGCGAGTGTGTAAAATTGGAGCTTTCCCGGCAAAAATGAGAAGTAACAGGCATTAGAAATACGACATATGAATCAGATTCCAAACAGACAAACAGGTGCTCAATATTATATTTCCAGTAAGACAATGGTTTCCGTAATTTTGAAGCATAGACAAACTAATTGGTTAGTGGCGTCTCCAACTTGCCTCCACAAATGTATATACTACAGTCACCCCACTATTATGAGTCACCCACAATTATGGGCCACTTCCATTTGATTACAACGCAGAACTAGATGGCCCATAATACTGGAGCGACTGTATATAACACAGAACATGTACAGCGAATGAGAGTACCTCAGTAACTGAGCTACTCAGTGAATGAGTAAAATTGTCCTCGCTTTTCCACGAAAAACTGCTCAATATGAGGAAAATCGACAAAAAAAACTACTCAGTCGAGGAATGTACTGGCTGATTGAAATATCTCTCGAATTTCCTCATATTCATGAAATTTTTCGTGGAAAATCAAAGGAAATTATACTCACTCACTGAGTAACCCCACGTTTAGCACTTTTGAGTCGAACTTGACTCGGTTACTGAGTTAATATCTTCTTCTTCATTCCTTTATCTAACGTCGGTCTCTGTTCCGCAATCTAGTGCCAATCACCGACGGACATCGATTGCCATCCATTGACGGCAATCGAATGTGCAGGAAGGCAGCTTCCACACCTGCGTAGGATATCGCACCCATTCACATGGGCCGGGACCAACGTCTTTACTTCCCTTCCGAAGGAAGACGTGACCAGAGATTTTTATGCCTCAGAAAAATCCCACCGCCCTCGGCTGGGATTGAACCCAGACCCATTGGGGTGAGAAAGCAGTCACGCTTTACCACTACACCACCGGCGCCTGCCCTCGGCTGGGATTGAACCCAGACCCATTGGGGTGTTAGAAAGCAGTCACGCTTACCACCACACCACCGGCGCCGGCATATACTTCCCATCCGAAGGAAGACGTGACCAAAGATTTTTATGCCTCAGAAAAATCCCAATTACCTCGGCTGGGATTGAACCCAGACCCATTGGGGTGAGAAAGCAGTCAGGCTTACCACTACACCACCGGCGCCTGCACTGAGTTTCTATCATTGGCCGTGTAGGTGAATTTAACTAATCGTGTTATGAAAAGGTCAATATACTTTACTAAAGAGCGTCTAGCGTCTAGGAGAGGAGCGGACTGGCTGGTTATGAGCCAAACGAACTGTCAAATTCAGAGACAATCGAGCAGCAATGACGTTTATATAAGGTCTGGGCCAAAGGGCTTATTGGTGTTAGTGAAATGTGCAAATGGTTAGTGGTGTTCGTATTACATTGCAATGTTTATCTTTTTACACGAAACAGCTGTTGGCAGTGACGTATTTCTATCTGTTCTCAGTATGTTGGCAGTGACGTATATCTATCTGTTCGCAGATGTTCAGCAATGTTTACAACATTTTTGCTTCTAACACCAGCAAGCTGCCTGTTGGCCCAGACCTTATATAAATGTCATTGATCGAGCAGCTCTCGATTCTTGATATCTTGTTAAACCGTCTTGGCCTAGGTTGCCAAAACCCCGTACCCCGTAGACTATGACTTGTACCATGTAATATTGACTGTCTTGCAATGAGCACTCATACATCTAATTTTCGCGATTGACAAATTTGATAACAAATTTTGATTTCTTTTTGCTGTATATTTGCTCTTTTAATATATGTTGTTGCAATTTTGTTTTCATTGTCTTAGCAGAACATCAAATTGAATACTCGTTTTGATATCAACAGGAAAAATTTACATCAAATTGAGTTTTCAGTTGGCTCCCACTGATAGCAGAATTAGTTTTCAATGTGATGTATCAATTTTGATTTATTGAAATTTTTATGGACCGTAGAGACTCACCAACTATCAACCCAGGGACACTCGATGGGACACTCGATGGGACACTCGAAAATTCGTTTTCATGTAGAGGAAGTGTGCCACTTATGTCAATAGTGCTGCCCAAATTGGCCAATTTAAGCCAAGTTCAATTTAAGCCTTCTATTTTCTCCAACTTAGGCATGTGTAGTAGATAGAGGTAGTGTGGAATAAAAAATGAGTAGAATCGAGTGACCGTGAAGCGTGATAGACGGTATGTAAACAGAATCTAGGCCGTATGGCCAATTAGAGGACCACTAGTGCCATAACTGATACAATTCCCCTCAGTATATATGAAATATTCTACTCCTTCAAGTTCCAATATTTGGTAAACTTAATGTGTACACAGCAAAAAATAAATATTTTAATTTTACATCCACTTAAATCATGTCGAAAATCTCATGTAATTTGTATGGCCACAAATATAAACCAATCCAGTAAAAGCAGCGTAATGTCAGTTCATGCACTGTATTAATGATAATTTTACCTTTTTTGACAAGTAATATTACAACATATTTTTGACACGACTGAAGTGTATGTGATATCAAATTTTTTTTTTTTTTGCTGTGTAGCAAGTCACCCCAAATAAAATTTAAGGAAATTTGTTAGAATCGTAAGACTTCAAGGTTCCCCTAAATGGCAGTACTCTTCATTCTGGACTGATTAAGGATCTTTTCCGATTAGAAATACAATGCATGCATGCAATGATATCACAGTGTCTCTGGTAGAACAACATTAATATAAAACAAATCAGTACCGCTGAAACATCTACACATTTTAAGGTAAAAGTAATGTAAATTTAGGTGCTCTGCTCTAAATAGTGACATATAAGAGCATCAATTTTTACAGAAAATTTTAGTCATAACAGACGTGAAATTCAGCTCAATCAAACGTACTTGTAGTCCAGTAGTATCAAACTTTTCGGTCTAGGGGCATTTAATTTTTCATAACATGTTTGTTTACGTCTCATCCATTATGTCAAAGATGGATTCCGTCACATGTAAAATTAGTTGTTTCTTAGTGTGCACCAAACGAAATTATAAGTGCTCCTCTTTCATTTCTATAAGGGAGTAATTTTTCCATACAATTTTTGGGCTTAAAAAAATAATGTTATAACGAGTTTTACACTAAAAAATACGAAAATTCAAATTGTTCTAGAACGCCGAACATTTCGGTACAAGTCTCATATGAAAAAGGCGAAGACGAGCTTTGGTTTGGCGGGTGTTTCCGTAATACTGATTCTTTTTTAAATAAGGTTTGTTTCAGCAACACCGTAATATACTCAAAACGATCTTAATTGAGAATTGTTAAAATTATCAAAATTAGTGAGTGGAATATTTATCAACTGAGTCATTGAATCGTCAAATAACAATAAAAAATAATTCTATTTCCTCATTTTTTAAAGGTTGCTTAGCTGATCTGCAAATTTTTGGTTTTCATAAAATGGAAAATTTATTTACTTTGAAGTTTCAGTAAGAAAAGATCCCTATGACTACATCACTGAATTTCAATTTGTTCAATATATTAAAAATATATTTCTATACATCAATTATTGCGTTGTTCTATACATTGTATGACAGAGAAGGTTTCAAAACACCAACGCTTGACGGTGTCTAGTTGCCGACTTTCACTACAACATATGGCTACCAGAAAAGTGATGGTCGTTTTTTCTCAATGATGACGAGAACACACTGGTATATATAAATAAATATCAGCTACTCTACCCGATCCGTAAACGTCTTTCGAAAGCACTGATGAGTCTATTCAAATGGGAAAGCTACGTCAAAAAGAAAAAAAAAAGATTTCTGTGCGATTCATAAATTTTGCGGTAACCATTGTAAAAAAAATCCTAACATTCATCTCGATCTGTCTTATGTTGATGGAGATTACAAATTCAGTCAACCAGACAACAGGGCTTAGATATATCAAACATGAGCAACAGCACGATCCAACCTGCTGTTCTACTATAAATATATTCGTATTTCATACTTCATTTGCCTATTATCTTCGCTCCATGCATAGTTTCTATAGTTTTGATTACTACTTAACGATGTTACTAAGATTAGTTTGAAACGTCGATTATTCTTCGATGGCATGAAATGTTCTTACACAATCCATGTGAGCTAAACTCTGCTAATTTTTCTTACGCTGAAGAGGAATGGAAAATAATTTGGTCGATTTTATATTTCCCCATACACTCATACACTTGTGAACTAATAATCCCCGGTTTTAGCAAATTTTGATCCTAGCTTATGGCCACTTATTTAACCCCCAAAGGCAAACGACAGATTCACACTTTTTTCGTTTCTTCTCTATTAAGAATTGAAAGGGACCGGTAGAAAACACTAGAACAAGCTATTGCATTACGATAAAATCCACGTAAGGTACATGAATATGCATTCCCAAGATATCATCAGCACACGCGAAGAGATGAGCTCATTTTCCGGCAGAATGTATGCTCTTTTCCGACGATTTTCTTCGCCCTGCATCGTGGGATTTTCTTCGGAAAAGTGCTCATGACAAATCGTTTAATTGATGCATGGACTACCGATAATGAGCTTTAAATTCACGAATCGAAGAACGCACACGGAGGCACGAGAGCAACGGCCATGAAATTAATCATCCACAGCACTTGGTACACTTTTTCCATCGAAAACTAAGCTTTTGCAGCTATTTGTACCGAAATGATGCGACGTTACTCAGCTACATAATGTATAGGAAAAGGAAACCTAACATTTATTACTAAGTATACTCCATTTTCACTTTTCTAAAATCACTGATATTCATTTCACTCTGCGTATGGTGAAAATTGGTGGACACAGTGTAGTGTTTCACGACGAGGAAAAAATGTATTTTTACGTTTAAATCAAAATATTTGACAATACAAACGAAAGTCATTATTTCCTTCACGTATGAGTATATTTCTTTCCTTTTTACTTTGCACTCATCGACATAAAAATACTTCCACGGAATAACGTAGAACGCACACTCACATGTCACTGACAATAGTATTTTCCGCGTCGAAGTTTTTCCTTCCACTCGAAGTGAAATTCGCCTGTTTTTGACATCAGCCTGCACTCATTCTCATTTTCCTACCAGTAGATACCTACCATAGCACAAGGTTTTGTTCATAGCTGTCGTCATACATCGTTTCACGAATAATGAGTAGTGTGAGTGGGAGATTGGATATACCGAGGAAAATTCTCTCACCGTTTTTCTTACATCCACAAATACCAATGCAGGTAAGATGTCTTCCTCAGAATGCGTCACGTATTAATATTGTAATGCACAAAATCACGAATCCTTGCAAAATAAAAACATAATTTTCAGGTAACACTTTTTTTTTCCATTACGAAGCTTACCACCCTGAAAATAGTATTGATTTTCCAGAAATTATTTGAAAAAGATTCGAAAATCTATGAAAAATAGATGACTTTTTCATGAAAGCGTTCATGAGCAATGACCATACCATACATTTCATAGTTGCTACTCCGTGCACGGGAAAAAATCCGGTACGAAACTCGTCAAATTTTTCGTTAACGAAAGTACACCTGAAAGTACACCATAGACAAGTGCACGGATGGATTTGAGTTTACTCACTCGATAAAAAGTGGCGCAAGCTGCGGGAAATGTTAACTAATAATGAACACTAAATGTTGTAGTGAACATTTAGTGCTCATGATTAGTAAACATTTCCCACAGCTTGTGTCGCTTTTTCTCAAGTGCGTGAACTCTCGTCTATCCGGCAGACCCCGACATTATCCAGGACTTGACAACTTCTCTACATCAAGGAGAGGCACTCGTGTTTTCTACAAAACTGACACGCTCCATAGAGGAAGAAAATAACGAAGATCACGACACTTTACAGAACAAAACAAATTCGGAACATGGATCAGGGGTAAATAATTTTGATAATAGTTTTATGAATGACAGGTTACCATCAACTTCTTCACCTAATCTTCAGACCACTACAGAAATTTTGGTATATTGCCAAAATGTTAACCGCATGAGAAGCGCCGGTAAAATGAATGAAATTAACAAAAGTATATTAAGTTCTACTTACTCTGTCATAATGGCTAATGAAACAAGTTGGGATGATAGTGTGAGAAGTGAAGAAGTTTTTGGTAACAATTATAACGTTTATAGAGACGACCGCAATTTTCAATGGTCTGGAAAAAAAATCGGGAGGTGGAGTATTAATAGTGATTTCGACCCAATTGAATTCAGAAATCATTATGGCTACTAAATTTAAAGAATTCGAACATGTATTGGTAAAAGCGAAAGTAGCAGACGAAACACATGTGTTTGCTTCGGTATACTTTCCTCCGAACAATGCTCATAAGGACACGTATGATAAGTTTTTTGGAAAAGCGGAAGAAATTTTGTCTAGTTTACCCCCTGAAGCAAAAGTTCATATATATGGGGACTTTAACCAACGCAATGTTGACTTTATTTCTGATATGGACAATGAAAGCATCTTACTTCCAGTCGTTGGGGAAAACGAAACACTCCATTTCATTTTTGACAAAATTGCAAATTTAGGACTCAGTCAAATTAACCATGTGAAAAATCAACAAAATTGTTATTTAGACCTTTTATTAACAAATACTTATGAAGATTTCTGTGTAACTGAATCGTTAAGTCCCATATGGAGAATGAAATGTTTCACACAGCAATAGAATATTCTTTATTCGTTCACATAAATGAAAGAACCAACGACTGCGAATTTGATGAAATCTTTGATTACAATTCAGCAAATTATGATAACTTAGAAATAGATTGAACATTCCCCCTTATTCTGCGAGTCACGTGACTCTCTCTCACCGGTGAGGTGACAATAGTCACCTCGTGTGAGGTGACTCTCCATTTGATTTACATGGAGAATCACCTCACACGAGGTGATAATTGTCACCTCACCGGTGACAGAGAGTCACGTGACTCGCAGAATAAGGGGGATTGTCGATTGGCAAGCAATATTAAGAACTGCAGGAAATGTTGAATGTGCAGTTGACGTATTCTACAATGTGTTGCTTGAAATAATAGTTGAAGAAGTGTCAACTAAAAGAAGAAGACGTCAGAGTCATGCAAAACATCCGGTTTGGTACAACATTTAACTGAAAAATTTAAAAAATCGAAAGCAAAAAGCGCACAAATTTTATAAAAAATATAATAGTGAAGAAACTTTGGCATACTATTTAGACATTTGCGATCAGTTAAATTTGGCCGTGAATATGGCATTTGAGGAGTATAATTTAAAAACTGAACTTGAAATAAAATCTTGTCCTAGGAACCTCTTCAATTATGTGAAAACCAAATTAAAATCTGATAATTTTCCCTCAAAGATGCATTTGGACGATAGATGGTATATGCAATTTGTTTGCAAATTTCTTCCAAGAAATCTATACTACGTTTTCAGAAGAGGACCGTGACCGTGAATATTTTGAATCTTATCCAGAATTTTCAAGTGACATCAGCGTAATTCAAATTAAGGTTCATGATATCCTAAAGGGTTTAAACAATTTAGATGCATCTAAAGGTCCTGGCCCTGACGGTGTTCCGCTAGTTTTTATGAAAACTTTAGCAATTGAACTTACTGCTCCATTATTTTGGATTTTCAATATGTCACTGGAATCCGGAAACTTCCCTAAAATATGGAAAAACTCGTTTTTAGTGCCTATCTTTAAATCGGGTAAATAATCCGACATACGTAATTATCGTGGTATAGCTATTATCTCTTGCATTCCGAAACTTTTCGAATCGATTGTAAATGAAAAACTTTTTCTTCAAATTAAAAACAGAATAACTACTATGCAACATGGCTTCTTTAAAGGCCGTTCAACAACTACGAATTTGCTCGAACTAATTAATTATTCCTTGAATGCAATGGATAACGGAAACCATGTAGAAGTGTTCTGTACAGATTTCAGCAAAGCGTTTGATCGAATTGACATACCCGTTGCTTTTTTTTAAACTTCAAAAAATGGGAATTCATTACGCATTCCTCAATTATTAATTTTTTTTTAATTTTTAATTTTTTTTTAAATTACGCATCATATTTAACTGACCGCCATCAAATAGGAAAATACAAAAGAAAGACATCAAATCCCGTTGATGTCACTTCAGGAGTTCCTCAAGGCTCCCATTTAGGACCACTTTTATTTATTCTCTTCGTCAATGACATATCTTTCATTATTCAGAAATTGGAAGTTTTAATATATGCTGACGACATTTAACTTTTTGACGTAGAACTACGTCTTTGTCGACTATATTAGGGTGCAAATCAAAAAATATGTGTGGTGAAGGAGTGTTAGGTTTTGAACGCTTGTAACTTTGTCATTTATAGATGAAATTTAAATCCAAATACGCCAATCGATAGGATATTACATTACAAACCTGCTGAAATAAATATTTTTCCAATTTTTCTGTAATTAAACTTTTGAAATGTGCAAATGATAATTTTATCACTATTTTCATGAAATAAGCCTTTTTTCCCAAACCCAGTCATCATAAACGAATACCACTTGGTTGCACATCATTCTGCTTGAAACTGAAAAGATATAAATCAGCGCTCCTCTCCTGCCTCTGCTCATTACCGCTTCGGACGGCGTGGCACTAGGTCCTGCAGCAAGCAGGATCAAGTCAGCTGCCGAAGATGGATCACGGCGTGTCCACCACAATGAGGAATGAGATTTGAAAAAAACGTGCATGTAAAACCCCCTCCCCTTAACAACCTCTCCCCCTCCACCCTTAACATAACCCGAAAAAGACATGGATTTTGACGATCATTTTTTTCCAGGAAATAAATTTTAAGCAAACCACAATTATGTATAAACAATTAATTTTTTACATGCAGAGCTAACATTTTCAAAAAAAAATTGATTAACAGAAGACATACAGTCGATGAATTACCAACAACTGACTGTAAAACATATATGGTACCTCTATATATGCAACTATATTAACATCCAAAGTCCATCCTTTTTACATATTCTGCGAAAAAGAAACTTTTTGCTCCGCCCCATTCATAAAAAAAACGGCGGGAAATCCTATCAGGTTCGGTTGCACATCGTTCTGCTTGAACATGAAAAGATATAAAACAGCGCTGCTGTCGTGCTTTTGCTGATTGTCGCTTCGGACGGCGTGGCACTTGGTCCTGCAACAAGCAGGACCAAGTCAGTGGCTAAAGGTGGATCACGGCGTGAACACAATGAAGAATGCAACACAATGAGGAATAAGGAAAAGCAATGTATGTAAACCCCCTTCCCCCTTGACAAGCATAGTTTGGTCTCCTTTTTAAATCACACACGAAGGAAGAATAGAGTCCGTTCAAAGCCAGTTTCTATTGTATGCACTCCGCAAGTTAGGTTGGACTGTATTTCCTCTGCCATCTTACACAGTTCGGTGTATGCTCATAAATATCCAAACATTAAAAGAGCGTCGTGAATTTGCTATGATTTATTTCGTAAACTATATCGTATCACATCGCATTGATTCAATAGAACTATTGTCATCCTTAAATGTATATACACTATCTAGGCATTTACGAAACAGAAATATATTTGCTACAAATCGTCATCGTACGAATTATGCCAAATTTGGACCCTTGAACCAAATGATGGACACATATAATAAACACTGCGATAATATTGACTTTACAATGACAAAAACCAAATTAAAGCAATATTTTAATTCCTTGCAAAACGTCAACTAGAAGTAATGTTTTAACTTGTTCTTAAGACATATTATAAAAAATATAAACAAAGACAAAATTGTAAAAATAGCACTTAAGACAACAATTGTAAAACGGTCTACACTGATTGACGACAAATAAATAAATAAATAAGTTGCACCTCAACAGACCTTCCATTGCCTTCAATGCAGCGGATCAATCCACTACCATAGCCTTCCGACATCGTCCTTTCACCGTTGGTCAACGTAACAGGAACCCTTTCATTTTCATTGAGCGAAGTGAAAAATGCATTGCTGTGCGCAGACATGGAAAATCATTTACATTCATTTCATGCATTCATTTACATTCATTTGCCTCTAACTTTTTTCATCAACAGCATTCCGCAAAATGTTGTTTGGAGCTTTAGTTGGTTTTGTTATTAGCTACAACTTTTGCTCATAACTCAAATATGTATCTCTTATGCCTCACGAATTAGAGCGGGCAGAACTTGTTACTGTTTTTCAGTGAATGTAAAATACATTCACTGAAAATCAGTAGTGGCTTCTGTTCGCTCTGGTTCGTCATGCATAAAAGATACGGACTTAAGTTGTTGACAAAAGTTGTAGGTAATAGCAAAACCTACAAAAGTTCCATACATCATTTTGAGGATTTTTGTTGATGAAAAAAGTTAGAGGCAAATGAATGTAAATGAATGCACGAAATGAATGCAAATGATTTTCCATGCCTGGCTGTGCGTCATGTGGTGTGACGCTCCCCTGTCGATATACCATAACTCGATCTGTCCGCCGGTTACCGAACAAGACGCCGCCCCCGCAGGAACAGCTTCATCGGATGCTTCGCTGTTTCGTGCTAGAAAACACAACGGAGATCTCGATCGTTGAACTTGATTCGCCTTTTGCTCCTTCTTAATCGGGGAACCTCGATGATGCTTGTCACTGACATCCACTTGCTTGCTGGCCATAAACTTACGACAATCTTTGTGGATATGGCCTGGTTGTTTGCAATAAAAACATAGCCTCGATTCGGCATTCTTCGACGAAAACGTACGCAGCACCTTATTTTCACCCGACGCACAACCTCGCTGATCTTCCCGCTTCTGAAACTCATCTCTCAACTTTGCTTCACCAGCTCGATTGTGATGTCGTCGTCTGGTCGAGCCTCTAGATCAACCACTAGGCCGTCGTACGATTCCGGTAGGCTGCGCAGAATCATCCCACCTTCAGCTCCTTTGCCAACTCCAGATCAGCAGCTCTGAGACGATCGAACAGCTCGTCCAATTTCATAAGGTGGTTGACCATACTTCCCCCTTCATCCAAATTTTTGCAGCACAGCCTCTTCAGAAGAGATACACGTCACTATACTCTTCTCATAATGCTCCTTCAGGGCATTCCACCGCGCACGGCCACTCACAGCATTTCGGATCAGACCGATTTGGGTTTCTTCGACGCAAAGTCCAATGGTTGCTTTCGCCTTCAGGTCGTCCTTCTTCCATCGATCCATCACAGGTTCCGGCTTTGCTTCTTCGATGACCCACCAAATCTCCTCCCACGTCAGCAACTGTTCCATTCGAAATTTCCAGGTTATCCAGTTGGTGGTCGTCAGCTTCGGGAAATTGAACTTCTCCGCCATCTTACAGTTGCAACTTGTGTTGCTGTGCAACCAAATGTAAAAGTCTTTCTCAGCACAAGTTCACCTAATCTACCGGCACTTTTTACGTTCGTGATTTTGTGTCACTCACTGGGCACATAACCTATTGGCGTGATAGGCAGTGGGAATTTTCAGATACCGTGAATAAACCGAATTATCAACACAAAAGAAACTATACTTCTGTTCTTCGTTTTTATTGAACTTGGACTAACAAAAGATAGGTTTGATTTTATTATGATCTTCGCAGCAGTGCTGCGAGTATTACCTCACGATGTACATCATCCGCAGACAGTAGCGTCATCAACAAAAACCTCTAGCACCATGGGTATGCATTCTACAGATTTGCAGTCTTGGACAAAGTTGCTCGGATTATTAAGGGCCAGCTTTTGGTCTTTCTGATTAGCTCGTATTCCTACTGCATAGTTGACACTCAAATATAAATATATTTTAAAAAGAAGGGCCTAGAAAGATGGGAAAAAGTGGAAAAGAGGAAGGGCTACGCGTACAAAAATGGTACTCAAGCTTTCAAATGAATCAAAAAACGAAGCTGATCAACTTAACCACTATATTGTCCAAAGATTTCACGATACACATAGGATTGGGTAGTGTGGTGTGTTGGATATTCTGGCACGTAACTTGACGACGACTACGACGAATGCAGTCCAGCGGGCGATCGCTGAAAGTCCGGAACGATTCTGGCGATGATGGACGATCAAAGAACGACCTTGTCAGCAAGTAGGCAATTCCACCGCCTGATCTACCGGCGACTACAGCGATGACGGTCTGACTAGTGCGTCTACCATTCGTTGACTGTCGTGTGATGGTGGTTTGGTTCAGCGGTGTTGTGTTTTGGTGGTGGGCTGGTATGACGGATTGTAGAGCTGGCCCCGATGCACAGGCGCTTTCTTCAGGCGAAACTGGTCGACGCCCTCTTGTCGAACTGGGAAGGTAATCTCTCCTTAGTTAAGACTTTCTGCTCGAGAGCGGTGTCATCCTTCACGAGGAACAATGATCCTTGGCAATATCTCGTGACTAGAAAGTTCCATCTACCGTAGCGTGCAATGGCGGTCGGAAATTCGCCAACCAGAAATTGGTTTGAAAAACGTACGGAAAGGTCCTGACTCGGTGAACTCGGTGTTCAACACTGCCCATAAATAAGAAATTGGCTAATATGCCATTTTTGTCAAAATCAAGAAAATTGTGTTACTTGATAGGTAGCACTCTTGTCAAAGGCCCCACCGCATAAAGTTGTAAAAAATTGATTTTCGCGGTTAAACGACTTGAAAAACTAGTTGCAATGTGCAATATAAATGATAAATTGCCTAATGTGCATGATGAATCTGAAACCAAGCGCAGCAACCAGTGTGTTTTTGTAGACATTTTTTTAGCGTAAAGTAAGATAGTCTTAAGGCCGGCGCACAATGCATACGTTTTCGGGTTTATTTGAGGTTGCATGGGCTAACTGTCAAAAAACCTGAAAACGTATCTATTGTGCGCCGGCCTTTATGGTCAAGTAGTCATAGGCTGTAAATCGGTAGATTCAGGATTCAATTTTTTTTTGAGACATTTCATGAAATGTGACAAATATTATATGCAGAAGCCCATATTTGTAAACAACATGGCTTACAAGTTGCTCGTTTGCGTGAAATGAAATACAAGTTGACGTGAATGAATGTTTACATCACAATTATAATTCAGATTTTTTTTGCTGTGTATATCTCGCGCGTTCAAGACAGAAGCAACGACTGACTGGATAACTGGTAAGAGGACAGATGACGAGTTTAACGAGTTTAAAAATTAAATAGGAGAGATCTGAAAAAGGCGGTCGCAGTAGACATACTATCACATAACCCTATACGATATCTCACTATCGACGCATCCATGCTCCAAATGTTAAATACTTGCTGTCGCTGCCAAAAGCTACTTTCTTCTCTGGTTTAGCGAGTCTTTTGCTTTTTGAGACATTTTACCTAAAACACGGCTAGCAGCTACTTTTTTCTCAGGTCAAGGTGAGAAGTGTTCACTTTTCGGATTCAATGAAAAACCTGGAGTAAGCTTCTAACTTGATTTAATTCAAAAAAATGTACAAAGTGATCTTACGACTACATGTTGCATTGTCAACTTATAATTATATACAGCTACATACGGATAGGACGTGTGGGCGTGTTTAACTTAACTTGAACGCATTATCGTTGCTAGATAAGTAGTGCGGGCAGATTATGCTAACGAGCAATTGTTCCTTTTTCTTTTTCACCGGAGATGAACTAGCCCATAGCGAAGACTACAAATCTGTAGTCTTCGATATTAGGTTTGCTTATTGATCTGCGCTCATGATATTTTGTGCTACTTACCGTGAGTTTGTTTGTATTTCGATAGTCAGTAAATCTAATAAATTAATGTTTTCAACATAGGTCCTCAAAACCGAGAATAGGGGTGTTGGCAGTGAGACTGGTAGTATTTATATCGAGGAAAACTTAATGTAAGTTGTTTGTTATTAATGATAAGTGCATCTGTGATTAATGTTTGTTGTATTAAAATTTTAGTTTGAGTATCGCCGAAAGCATACTTTGTAAAATAGTTTTCTATGCTCGATCCGAAGGACTGGGAGCAACATTCTCAAAATTAATGGCAGCGACCTACCAGTTCCCGTGTTGTGACTGCAATGAATCGTACGATGCCAGCGTCCAGTGCGAAAGATGTGAAGAATGGTACCATTTCGAGTGCGTTGGTGTCGACGAATCCGTTGCAGAGGTCATATGGTTCTGCTCGGCCTGTATCGGTGAGGATAGATCGATCCGTGAGTCGCTGGGAGCACCAGGACGGACCAGAATTCTTACGGTGGTGATCGATCTTCCATCTGCTAATGCTGAAGGTAGCAGTACAGAGGTCGGTAAGGTAGCAAATAAGAACATATCATCGACTAAACGTCGCATAAGTAGGGCCCAAGCACAAGATGATGATAGCAATAAATCAGATAAATCAGATCAGGACCATCTGCCTCGACACGTTCTCGTGCGTTGAAGGAACTTCGCGAACCGGAGGAGAAAAACAAGTTGGACGAACTCGAGGAGGAAAACCAACGGAAATTTCTGGAACTTCAACGAAAGCAGATTGCCAGACGAAAAGAAGCGCTCAAAAGGAGAATCGAATTGAGGATGATCATCAACGAGGATACTGAAGATGATTCGGATTCAGTGAACGAAGAAGTGGAAGAATCGACGAACAGAAGCGGGGAAAAGCAGCCGGAGGAGCAGATCCCGAAGAGTTTGGGTGCAATTCCGATGGTTCCACGAAAAAGATCTACCGAAGATGATATTCAGGACCTGTATGATCGCTTCAAGAAACTTTTGGAAGAAAAAAAGCCTCGAAAGTCAGCACCAAAGCTGCCCACCACGAAGAAGAGCACCAAACGTGCATCGAATCCGGTACTGCCACGCCCTTCTTTTGAAAAGGATGATGACGCACTGAGATCAATCCTTGGTGGCGGGTGTGGAAGATAGAGTTGGTAAGGATGATAATGATTAAAACATATAAGTTGAGTCATGTAACGAAACGCTTAAATTGAGGAAAACCAGTTTATCGTTCATGTGAACAAAATCTCACTATCGTTGCTTTGTGAGGAGAAATCCCAAAACAGCTAGCAGCGCTGTGTAAAAGACGAGGTAAAATATGGGATATTCCTTCGGTATAAATATGGGCTACCTAAGCTTGCAGAAGGCATTCTTGTGACGAACGTTGAAGGTGACGGACAAGCAGCAGCAGCAGCAGCAGCAGCGACGATAGTTCGTTAAAAGCAGTTTTACTATTTAGTACAACGAATCTTGCATCGCTCAATTTTTCTTCCTGAAGCTGCAGATGTATCATTGTGAATACTTGTGTCAATATTCATTAACTCATCCTTTTCGTCAATTTGTAATTCATCTGGATCATTATCTGATTCATTATCTGCTGCTACCATTCCTAAAAATGATCTTACGTCTTTGACTGTTTTCGGCACTGGCATGTCCTTTATTGCTTTTACATTGTCATTGTCCATTGGTCGAATTCCATTTTTATTAATCATATGTCCTAAATATTTAATTTCGGACCTCAAAATTTTACATTTTGATGGCTCAACTTTCAGATTATGCCTTTGCATTGCTTCTAAAATTTTGGCCAAATTTTCGTTATGTTCTTCAATTGTCTTACCAAAAATTATTATATCATCCAAATATACAATGACTTGAACGTCTTCAATTTCGTATGGAACCGTATTCATTAACCTTTGAAATGTAGATGGACTATTTCTCAACCCCATAGGCATTCTCGTAAATTCGTAATGGCCTTTTGGTGTTGAAAATGCTGTCTTCGCTGCATCTTTTGGATTGATTGGGACCTGGTAAAATCTAGATTTCAAATCCAATGTAGAAAAATAAACACTATCTCCGAGATTATCCAAGATCTCATTAATGAGTGGGATCGGGTAAACAAATGGTTTTGTTATCAGATTAAGTGCTCTAAAATCCACAACAATCCGATATTTCTTGTTTCCTTCTGCGTCTAGATCTTTTTTTAGTATGCATAGAACTGGTGCATTCCATGGACTTTTACTAGACTTAATTATGCCTTGACGATGCATTTCGTCAATTTCTTCATTTATTTGTTTCTTTGTGGATTTTGGAAACCTATATTGCCTTTTATTAATTGGCACATTTGTCATTGTTTCAATTTCATGTACCGCAGCGTCTGTGATTGATAATGTATCTCCTTTTAAAAAGAAAACATCATTGTTATCGGCTATAAGCTTCTTCATTTTGTCTAATTTTTCACCACTCAAATGGTTTGGACTAGCAGAATCAAGTAATGTTTGAATTCGTTCGTTTTCCATTATGTGTTTAAATTTTTTATATTCAAGTTACCCATAATCTTGGGTTTTATCTAGGTCCAACTTCACTCTGCCTTCTTCTTTTAATGTGTCAAAGCGACGACAACAAATCAAGAAGACTGGCAACTCTTCCATTTTCTCATACAAACGCTATGAGACAGGTACAATCGCGTCATCTGCCGCTCAAAGGTAAATGCTTCGAACGAATTTGATAGCAAAGATTACAACCTCAAAGAAGGGTTTGTGTATTTGCCTTATTTTTCTATGCGTTGCTACCACCTTCACTCAAGTGCAGCGCTACTGTATCCATGCTTGGCATACACAGTTGTACACACCAACTGCTCATTTGTTAATAACTTTTCACTCAGTTGTTGAAATTTATTTTTCTTTAAAGTTATTGATAGATTAGGATCATAGCTTACTATAGATATGCAAAAAGTAGTTAAATCTTAACATTTGAATCAAGACCAATGAATTTTTACTTTTAAAGTCCGAGATGTGCAGCGAGCATTTCTCACTTCATTTTTACAACGCAAAAACAAGTACAGTTTATTACTAGAATTGAAATCTACTTTGTTTTATGTACCTATAAATAAGCTTAAACTTTATTATATCTATTGCTTCCAAAAGAACGATGTTTCGTCAACTCTGTGTAAAGTTATTAGCAAATGAGCAGTTGTTGAAATTTATTTTTCTTTAAAGTTATTGATAGATTAGGATCATAGCTTACTATAGATATGCAAAAAGTAGTTAAATCTTAACATTTGAATCAAGACCAATGAATTTTTACTTTTAAAGTTCGAGATGTGCAGCGAGCATTTCTCACTTCATTTTTACAACGCAAAAACAAATACAGTTTATTACTAGAATTGAAATCTACTTTGTTTTATGTACCTATAAATAAGCTTAAACTTTATTATATCTATTGCTTCCAAAAGAACGATGTTTCGTCAACTCTGTGTAAAGTTATTAGCAAATGAGCAGTTCGTGACCAAAACTGTGTATGCCAAGCATGACTGTATCTGTCGCTTGGATTCTGGCAAAGTTGCCAGTCTTCTTGATTTGTTGTCTTCGGTCAAAGGCTTGTTTTTTCAAGATTGCATAACTTAGATTGTCCCCAATATAAGAGACGTATCTTTTTTAAAAAATCGGCACCTATTATTGCTGGAACAGCTAAATTTTCGACAACCTCAAATTTAATAGGAAAGACATGTCCGTCAATCATTAAGTGTAACCACACACACCCTGATTCTATGGTTCCCGATTCCAAGGAAAGATATCGTGTGTAGTTTGTTAATATGTTTAGCTCCAATTTTTATGGCTGCATCTATTCTCAGCAAATTAGCTTGTGCCCCTGTGTCCAATAAGTATTTTATTGAATTTGTCGGATTTTCTCTAGTCGACAGCTTTGTATACAATCTACTTTTTTCGTAGATCAAAGAATCTTCAAGTTGATGAATGTTGTTTGTGTACTTTGATCGATATAAATTTTTGTTGAAACAGTTTTGGGACAAGCGTTCTTTGGAATCCCTCTCATTTATTTTTTTGACCCATCCTGTCGGTCATCTCTTGGATTACCAAAATTCCTTGAGTGGGCTTCGTAAGGTTGTGATGAATACCTTTGGTTACCATATCTCCCATGATCATTTTTCTTCTTGATCATTGTTGTAACGGCCCCGGCTATTGTTGCTACTGGTGTTTCCCCTGAAATAACCACCGTTGTTACCGAAGTTACTAAAGTTATTACCCCGATAATTGTTTGTATTGGAATTATTATTTTTTTTATCTTCTTGAAAATTTCGCTGGTAATCGCTGGTCTGTCCTTGTCTATGTCTTCTTCTCATTCGAACGTCAGTTTTAATGTCTGGATGTTTTCTTGTCGAATGTCATGATGTGTTTGTGTATCTGTGTGTGTGTGTGTGTGTGTGTGTGTGTGTGTGTGTGTGTGTGTGTGTGTGTGTGTGTGTTGTTTTCTCTCTCTCTGTGTGTGTGGGTGTGTGTGTGTGTGTTTGCATTTGGTGCAAACCAAATCATTATATTTCTTCCTCATCTCCTAGTTTTAACTGCGTTCAAGAATAATTAACTAAAAAAAACGTTGCAAAAGTTCATACCATAACATATCTAACTTACTATCCGCATTTGCTAACTAATACCTAAATGTAATTTTTAATTTTATGAAGATAAGTTGCTCAGAATAGCAGCCTGTAATTCCGTACCAGAATCCGCCTCCAATTTAATGTCTTTAGCGGATTCGTAGTAGCAAAGTTATGCTAAAAGCTAAATAGTTACATAAAAATACTACCTAAATCGTTCATAATCAGAGCCGGACCACTGATGAAAACCAAAACTACAACCCTGAAAAAACGTATCGATATTTTCGAAGGCGAACACACTGCAACCTATTCTTGCTAGTGATTCTGTCCAATTGTTAGGTATCCAAATTATAGTCATTCGTAAATTTATTATTGAATATATGGATGAATTATCTATTATTGAATAACTATTATTTACGATAATTACATGAAAAAAAAAATATAAACTACAAACAAAACGTGACTACTAAAATCTCAAAAAGATATTCTCACAAATATATTTCACGCAACCAGGAATCTCAAAACCATTAAACGCTAAAATGATACTCTGCACATGTTAGACACAAGAAGAGGCCAAAAAGCAAGCGTCCGACACACAAAACCCGCCAAATCCACTTGCAGTCACAATCAACGAATCTACGAATCGCGAATGCTCAAGAATCATAAAACCGCTGACTGCGACACTCTGAAAGCGAAATTGACAGGCTCTATGCATCAAACACCCGCCCTCCAATCTCCTCCCGCATCCAACAAAACAAATCTCCATTACAACATCTAACGAATTCAAAACTCCGACTCATCTATAGCAAGTGAGTGGAAGCAACCCTGCATGTAACCATTCTTCATGATACACTTTTTCTGTCTATCTTTCTATTAGGCCTGTGCGTTCCCTAATAAAAATAACCATAAAAGAGAACTTAACGACGTGTTCGGGGTATCATCCAAACTATTTGTGGGATAGTTTACCCATCCGGGATACAGTTCGTTTATGGTATTTGTTTATTAGGGTTAGCTTCGAAACTTCTAACCAAATTAAGAAAATTTTGAGATAACAAAAAAAAAAAACTTTCAAAGGTAAGGTACAAGCAAAATAAATATTGATTATTTTACGCAAAACTGAGCAAGTAATATTAAATCTCTTGTATTGTATGCTAATGGTTATTGACTGTAACAAAATAATATGCTTAAATAAAATAAAATATTAATAAAATTAAAATTATATGCAAAATTTACTAGAAGATCATTACTTTATTGGTGGTTTCTAATAAGCCCTCCCAGTTCCTCTGTATACAGAACAAATCTGATACTATAATCAGAATTGCTCAGTCTGCATGAACCAGCCGATTTCATCAAGGAAGTTCTATTAACAACCAAGTATTAATCGTTTGAGGCATACTGAAGCATTAAGAAGGTGATATGTGTCACTATAGGAAATCATCATCGTTACAAATATAAAGAAATTAAACATAGCCCATTGCTTCAGTACCGTCAAACTCCATGTCCATGGGGAGGGGATAATTGTTTGTAATAGAATTATTGTATC